ACTTTGACATGGAGGCTCTGGAGACCTCTCAGACGGAATCCCAGTTGACAGATGCCTTGATGGAGCAGGGGATCATGCAGGAAAATGCACCTGAAGCTGAGGACACAAGACCAGACAGTCACAAAACGATGACCGACAAAGTGACACCATCCAGAATTGCTGTCCAGAGACTGAAAGCCGAGGTGACTCCAGAGGTAGCTTTTGAAATTTTTGCTGTCAGAACACTGGGGTGTGTCAGTTCATGGTTATGTAGTTGTGAGCCTTTTCTATTTCTCATTCCCCTCCCCTAAAAATCTTGGCTTCATCCAGTTATCAGAATTTGAAGCGCCATCATGGCACCAAGCTCCTGCACAGGTACTATGTGCATGTTGAATGCCTCTTTGATCAGTTGGTTGTGACTTGTCAAATGCACATGCCTCAAATATAACAATGTGTGGTACCATCCTCAGTTTAATCTGCTCACAGTATTGCCTTCAGCTACTTGATGAATTCAAGCTGTACTTATTGTGCAAAGTGATACCCTTCCCAGCAGTCCATGTAATCAAGATTTAAAAATACACAAAAAGTGTGGAATTTTAAATCTCAGTGTGTATTGTGTTGTCAACAGAGAAAGGTCTGATCTGTCTGTTCACTCGATTGTTCTCAGCTTGTTTCTGATGATTAAACAGCTCAGACCTTTAGAGTGTTTTATGGTACTTAACAGAGCTAGAAGAATCTCACAAGTACTTTTGTGTAGCCCTTTGAGAAAAATGTAGCAAGATTAAAGAAATGTAACATTCCCGGGCAGGGTGTCTTATTCCTTCAGTTAGGATGACCACAAGGTAGGCCATTGCTAATTGATGTACAAATGGTTAAAACAATTTGACACATAAGGAAGCTGTTGTGTGTGTGTTTAATCTTGATTTCACTTTAGACAGTGCTCATTTCAAAGACAGGTATCATCAATAACTATAGCTTTACATTTTGTATTATGTTAATTTTTTCCTTCTTTTTTTAAAAAACTCGAATGTTTATATTTGAGCAGGTAGCTGTGCAGTGCTCTAAACCCCCGGCATTGTCCAACTCCAACAGGAAGAGGCGCCAGTCGGCCAAGGATCAGTCATCCACGCCGGGGAGGCAGAGCAGGGTGAAGCGGCTACAGCTGCAACAGAACTCGCAGACCCTGGGCAAAGGAAACTCTCCGGGTGGGAGGACGCCAGGAGCGGCCGATGGTTCAGGTGAGGATCGGAGGGTAGCATCTTGAGTGTGTCTGGCCGTATCAGCTGATTTGTTCACGATGCCTTTGTGGCCTTACTCCAACAATATTTTTCGGCACTGTAAAAGAAAGCCTTCAGTGCTTAATTTTGGATCTTTTCCCATCCTGTAGGTGTAAAATATCCATGAGAGCTTTGTATTTACAGGTCATCCTGGTACTGGGTACCATTTTGTACTAAAACATAGGTGCCCATAAAATGAAACAGGAAATCATTCCAAGTTTCAAAGAAAAAAAAAAAAAGAATTTGGCAGCATAAAAGTTTTCCTCACCCAAACTGCACCTAAACAATTGTCGGAATAAAAAATAAATCAAATAAATTTACTGCCGTTTGAATGTGTACATTATTCGGTGCTGAATTGTGCATAAATTACCATTACCATTACCAATGAGTAATATACTTTGGCATTCCTTTCATTGGTTTTTATTTTAGAATTTCTCAACAGCAAGCTTGCAAGACCTTCCTTTTTCATTGCCTTAGAGGTTGGCAAGTTATTTGTAGTTTTGGTTATGAGTACCTGGTCCTATGATTGGAAAGCTAATGCTAGGACTTACATAAATTTATGCCCATGTAGAAAAAGGCAAGTGAGTAGAAGTGGCTTGCTCAAGGACACATACTGTACAAAGCCAACAGCTGGATTTGAACCCCTGACCCACTGATGACGAGTCACAAACTATCTACTAGGCTACACTCTCCTGTACCAAGTTATAACGTAATTATGATAATGTAATATTCAGTGCATTGCAATGCCTTTTAGATACTGTGCGCCTTATAAATGCATTATTGTGGTTATGCATTGCCTAATTCTTTTATATTTTATTACTTGTGTACACAGAGCCCAGTGCCCGGTGGGGCCATGCCATGTGTGCTATCAGCAAGAAGCAGGCAGTCCTCATTGGTGGCCAAGGGGAAAATCAAGTCCTCAGCAAAGACAGTGTCTGGCTGCTTGATAGTGGTAAGCAAAACCTGCCACCTGTTCCAATTGAATCGCAAAGGCCTTACGATTAGAATGTTTTAATTTTCGTGTACATGTACACCGTGGGATCCAGTATAAAATCGCTGTGATGCATGACTCGCACAAGCGTTTTTCTGTCGGATTCTGCTTGAGTTTGTGTGCATTATGCAGTGTGAGTACAAAGGGAATGACAAAATGCCAATTTTCAGTTGACATTCTTTCCTCCCGCATTAGACAGCATGAAGTGGTGCGTACCAGCAATTAGCCACAGTGATTCCTCCAAGCCACAGTACAGGATGGGCCATACTGCAGTCTACGACCCTGTGGTCAAGTGTGTTTACGTGTACGGAGGCTCCAAGAATCTTCGTTGGTACAATGACGTCCACGTCTTGGACATAGAGTCCTGGAGGTGGTCACTGGTCAAGGTAAGCTGTGCTGCCGAGTGACGAGTGTATCAAGGGTTTGCACGACTACCATCTTGCAGGCCAGTGCTTTTGCTCCATTGGATATGCATAAAGGAGGTTTCCCTGTGGAACAAAACTGCTTCCCTGCAAGATACACGTATTTCTTGTACTGTGAACACTTATTTAAGCCAGACTTTTGTTGATGGTTTCTCTTCATTTAGCGACAGATAACCCTAGTCTCCAATTGTCTTCAAACCTATTTTTCAGAAAATTGGTAGCATTAAGTGGGACTAGTCTAGTCCTCAGTAGGTTCATACAATCTCTGGTCCACACTAGGCGTGTCAGGTTTGTACGTGCTTGTGCACACTCTCTCTGCTATCACGAGTATCCCACGTAGTACCTGTCATGTTCTCGCATTAAGTCATTGAAATAGTTAAAGGCAAAGTCTAGTTGTCATCTCTGTTCTGCTAATGAACTCACAGGCTTCTGGCAAGGCACCAACTAGGGCCTACCACACAAGCACCCTGTTTCATGATGAGATGTTTGTCTTTGGGGGAGTCTACCCAAACCCAGACCCGGAACCTGACAGTTGCAGTGACCAGCTACACGTCTTCAGCCCAGGTGAGTAAGAGAGACCATACAAAGGCAGATTCAGAGCACCATTTTTTTTGGTTGGGGGGGGAAGGGTTGGCCTTAATCTGAATAGCAAACCAGGTTTTTTAATTAACTGTAAATGAATTAATATCATCTTCCCCAATCAGCAGTTGCTCTCACTGAGTTGTAAATTCAGGGGTCAGTGTGCCCCTGTTACACCTAACCTTGTAACTTGACTTGAAAATATAATTAAAATTGACTCACACCATTCTTATTTTTTTCTCAGGTAATTTGCATAACTTAATCACTCTTGTAAATTAAAGGATGCATTCTAAACCTACAAAATCATATGCAAGTTATAATGGAGATGCATTAAAACTGGACACCAAATTTTTAGAATGTACATGTATGTATAACCAGTGTGTTCCAAATTCAGAAAATTGCCCATTAGAATGAAAATAAAAATTCTCATTTTTTTCCTGCCGTAATCAAGGTAATGTAATGCTTTTCATGTTTCCATATTCAGTCACAGAAAGTTGGTATGAGCCTGTTGTTATGGGAAAGAAGCCAAAAGCACGGTCAGGGTATGTAACAAACTTCATATGAAACAAAAAATAAGCAAAGATTTATATTTCTCTGGAGGACATGTGAAGTAAAATTTGATCATTGTGCTTTGTGACGACAAAATCTTACAGTAATTGACTACGGAATGAATGAGCTGGCCCTTAAGGGTGTGAACTATGACACGAATACTCTGTGAAGTGCACCCTCACTGGCGAAAGAAAGACAGGCAGTAGTAAGTTTTCCAACCGGGTTCTTGCATGCGTTTGGCATGCATACGAAGACTGCACATTCTAGACTAAAATCGTTGCGCGTACTCAGCGTGCTCTGCGTCAAACGTACATAAACTTGCACATCTATGCGGTGCATGAGTACCAAAGGACTGTCAAGTTCATTTCAAACCACGCCCTCTTTTGTTCCTGCTCGGAGCGGATACAGTTTGCATCCTCAAGTAATTCTTGGGTGCCTGTTTTTTTTTTTCTAGGCATTCTGCCACACGTCTCGGGGATCAACTGGTGATCTTTGGAGGCTGGGATGCCCCTGAATGCTTCAATGATGTCCATTGCCTTGACCTCAGTAAGCACTACAGGGTTCACGAGTCACGCATGTGAACTGTCCACATGGCTTGCTGTCGTTCCTCTAGGACAAACATAGACACTTTGAAACAGTTGGCCATTTCAGTAATGCAGTCACTTGTTTATGACTGAATAATGGGATAGCTTTACTGCGGTATAAGTTAAAAATACCGTTTTAGGACCATAACAACTTCAAAACTTACACAGTATCCAAGAGATTGTGGATGAAATTTCACCCATGAATGTGCTTATCACTCTCAAAGATAGACGCAAGCGTCATTTTTGAAAATATATTCGAAGTTAAGCCGTGAGATGAAGATTGCAAAACGAATGATTGCAGAGGAGGTGGCCTGGATTGCATCCCCCATTAGATTTTTAAAATTTTATCTTTTGTTACCTTCTAGTCCTTTAACTAACCTCCTATAATTGCTGAGCCCGCCGTCAATTTGCTGTGTTTTGTCTTGTTCTCACTGCAATCAATGAACATCAAGTAAGAGTGCACCCTTGCCGTACATGTACACGGTATGCTCTGTACAGTTTGAATTGACACAGCCAGCAGGTTCAAAGACTCACAGCTAGGACGAGCGCAATCTGAAATATATTACGTCTGATTTCATTCTTCCAGTTCTGATGGAATTCACCAGCATCCCTGTGAAGGGAACCCCACCTGTGCCAAGGAGGTAGGTTCACTTGTGATATCACAAGAGAGTCAAGGAATTCAGAGGTACTGGAGAGTCAGAAAGTTAGCCGTTAAACAAGCAGAAATATCTCTGAACCATATTACGGTTCAAATTCAAAAGAAAATTGTATTTTTAAGTTTATAAAATGTAACTTGCCTATATTTAAGCCAAAGAATGAAGGAAAGTAGGAGGCCTGTTGCCTTATGTGTCCAATTCAACTTGCAACATCAGTGCATTTTGATGGACAGTAAATAAGGAAGAAATGATAGACTGAAAGGCATTTGAACACATTTCTGAGAGCACTATTTGTTTTCTCTTTATTCATATGTTGCTTTATCATGACAACAGCTGGCATGCCTCTGCAGCACTGCATGGCAACAGAATCCTCATCCAAGGAGGATTTGACGGGGAAAATGCCATGACAGATGCCTTTGTCTTTCGTCTCGGTGAGTATAAGTCGTAAGGTGAAATGAGAAAGAATTTGGTCTAGTCTCTTTGTGAAAAATAAAAGAAATTCAGCAGCAATCTGGGGCATCTGAAACTCCAGAAAGTTTAATTTCTCTAAAGCCAAAAGTAAAGCAGCTTGATAAAGATCAAATTAACTACCATGACGGCTACAGTGACACATCTAGAGAAACACTGAAAGTATGAACATTTCCAGCACAATTCATTAAGTAGTTTTCTTCCCTTTTTTTCCTAACTGCACAATGACATTTTTAAAAGCTCGTAAACGTCTGTTGACATGCATGATACCCTGAGTGCCATATGAAAACTTGCCCACTCTCAGCAGTACACAGACTACAGTGAAAATGCTGGTACTGCTCCTCACAGTGGTTTTGAAACCCTTGTAACCATGGCTGACCCTCACTGTTTCGTTACTTTGTCTTTTACAGACTCACAGTGCTGGACAACATTGCTGTGGCCCATTCCCACTACCCCGACAGCCGGCCACACCGTCATCACCAGTAGCCCGCGAGACAGCCTGTCCAGTGACGATGCCGAGGACAAAGAAAACGGACAAGCCAACCGACAGCAAAGACTCTTCATTTTTGGCGGAGGGAACAACGAGGGCGCCTTCTCCAATAAGCTGATCACATTCAAACTCCAGCTGCCGTCAGATTCATGAACAGGGATGAAGATCTCGCAACCTCTGCCAGATTAGACATCCATTTCTCATTTATACCCAAACGTGGCACAGAAATTCCTTTACAGGTTTTTGTCCCTACCATTTGCTGGAATAAACATCTTGCAGTGCCCAGCTCTTGCTGTCAAATCAAAATGTTCATGCGTTTTTAATTTTCAGACATTTGATGTTAATTCAGATCTATTAATAATGCGGGTATTTCCATTTAACTTCAAAATTTTTGCTCCAGGATCAGTGATATTTACTGTATTATTAACAAAGTTCATATGTTTTCATTACCTACATAATACATAAGAGCTCTCATGGGCAATGAAATGGTTGACTGCTGCAGTTATATTACAGCAAGGAACACAGACAGGCTGTAATGTGTACTTTCCCTGTTCCCTAATTGTGCAACCGAGTGTTACAGTGGAAGGTGCGTGTTATATTTGACCTGATCTTAGAGTATCCATAAGTTGTAACAGGTTATCTTCAATGAAAGAATGACATTGTCAGCGGCGGGTTGAGCATCACATTTTGCTAGAGTTACACCTCAACTACACCATATTGCTCAGTATCTCTCAACAATATCAGTGATGATTGATTTTAAAACAGTCTTAAATGCTTTCAAATTCAGTGAAATAAGGTGGCAGTCATATAGGCCTTTTACAAGGTGTTGTATTGGGAGGCACTTAGATCATGTGAAAGGATAAACAGTATTGATAGGCCATTTTATGAATCTTGAAGATTCCCAGTCTGGAGCATGGAGCAAGCATGGGGTAATTTTAATTTACACCAACTTCAAGAAATGTTGTTGGGAACTGTGCCTTGTGTTAAAGTTTCGATTCTAACTTTATCAAGGTCAATAGATTCATTTTTCGTGTGCCTATGTACATCTGTGTACGGCACAATGATTAAGGTCCTATTTAAGTTTTTGACATTTGTTTTCTGGTGGTTTAAGGTTAACTTTAGTTTTCATTTCAATTTGATTTTTTTTGAGGGGGGATGAAATAATCAGGCAAGCATTGTGGTGCATATACTTCATCATGTGACTTGCACTGCTTTCAAACAGTTGAATGTGTCAGTTTTTGAAATGTTCTTCTGATAAATTTCAAATTTATGCATAGTGTTCAGTATAAAGAGGTACATTTTGTTATTTTTCTTTTTTTTGAACAGCATCATGATAAGCTGTGTGAAAATTACTCTCAGGACGTAAGATCTTGCAACAAGAAGACCAGAACAAATACTTGTATTAAAGGTTAAAGGTTATAAATTAAACCAGAAGGGGGCGTGTCGGTTGTTTTCAAATTTCACTCGAAAAAACTGAATAGAAAAAGTATTGGAATATTTGACCTTTGGAATGAGGGTTAATACCAATCTTGATTTTTTATTTATTTGTTGTAGTTTTATTTGTTTGATTTATTTCTTTACTTTATTAGTGTTTTTAAATGTTTTCAGTAGCAGATAGTTTCCACCAGTTTCAGATACTGAGGAGCACTTGTTGAGACATTGTTGAAGTTTTTTCAAGTGACAGTTGGGCAAAATGCTGGTGGACAGAAATTTTTTACCAGCACGTGCCTTATTGCCTATGCATACACACGTTATTGCTGTACATGTAATCAGCTTCAAGTGGTAATACATGGTACCCTGCACTGATAGCTCTTGGTCATTTTCATCATTTTGTACGGAATTTTTATATAAAAGTGTATATTTTGGCAAAACTGGCTGTTGATTTTGGTTTCAATTTTCAAGAAAAGGGCGATAAAATTAGTTCCTGTTTGCTAACTACCTGGCCTCTGTGTCCTTAACTTTTTTAGACATTGTCTTTAGAAATCAACAACGGAAGGCAAAGATTAATTAAATGATCACATTTAACTTTGTTTCTTGAAAAAATCAATGACTGAAATTGAAAGTGCAGTTCCAAAATATTTTTTACACAGTAAAGGAAACCTGAAAACCCATTTGTTTGAAGAAACAAAAAACAATAACTGAGGATTATAGAAAGAGTGGCTGTTATAATGTGGATGTGGTACGAGAAAGATGGTGATGGTTGGAAAGATTTTATGGTAATGAAATAATTGGTGGTGATTCGGTGTTGTATAGAATATACTTCAGGCATTCATGATGGTGGTCACAGCCTGAACATGGTGGCGAGAACAGTGATCATGGTGAATCCGTTCTGGCAGCTAAATTGGTTAATTGATGGTTGCTACATTGGCGGTTATCAGAGGTACAGGTAAGTGATCGTGACAGAATCTGAAAATTAATAACTGGCAACGTTAATTGGGGTTGATTAGTTGTACTGGTGAGAACCTTGATTCTGTGCGGGGATATTAGCTGTGTCCTCCACTACGGCTGCAGCCACAGCCACATCCCCGCTAGGTTGGCGTGGCACAAGGCCACACTATGGAGGAAAGAGCAAAACAAACTCTATAGCCCACTGTCTTTAAACTGAATTTTAACTGTAATATTTCATACCCCCAAGAAAAAAATACAAAGCATATCACTGACTTAAATAACATCATCGGCTATAAATCAAAACGAACTGATGATGTAACATGAATCACTCAACGCGTGCATCATACAATCCGCGGAGGAGCAATATTCTTCACCGGTGGTGAAGAATATATTGCCACGTGCGCATGCTCCTTTGAGATGTTGTTTCAGACGGGTAGTCTGCACACCCAAACAATCGGTGACCTTCACCTGACAACAATATGGCAGTGAGACCAGGTACCGCACAATAGCAGAATGACATCTTCTACCATGCCATTTCGACGTGTTAGTGGAAGAATCGCGTGTTTGCGTGAGTAGCACATGTGGACACGTATTTGCTATGTAAACTAGTATCCTGACCTGCTGTTATATCAAGTGCGCGAAAACCCACGTTGTGGTAGACACGATGGCGGGTATTCGAGATTCCGCCAAGCGGTGTTTTCCGCTGCAAGACATCAAGTCGGTCGTGTCACTTTTTCGAACAGAGCTCACCGAGACCACGGAGCCCAGCCTGGCCATGCTGTCCATAGTGGCTGGCATCATCGAGAACGTTTTCACCAGCAATCGCGGCGGCTCATCTTCGTCTGACTCCTCCGAGCCGACCGGCCGCGCTACCGTCAACAGCAGTGGCAGCCCAGCAACAGCCGCGGTGGGCATTGAACCCATCTTCCCCGTGGTGGAACTGCCGAACGTGGAGGCGCTTTATTGCAAGTTCGAAGCCCAGATTAAGGGGTCCGTAGACCTAAGCGACTACAAGCCGGGGTACGCCACGCGGGGGTTAATCAAAAAGGTCTCAGACATCATCTGGAGCTCACTGACAAGGTCCTACTACAAGGAAAAGGCGCACCTTCAGTCACTCTTCAGTTATCTTACAGGTGAGTCATCATCATCAGTGCATCTACCAACTGGTTGGGATGAGTAATAAGGTGATGATTCTTTCTTTTCATCTAAAGGTGGTATTGCAATACCACTAGTAGCCCTATTTGCCAATTAAATTCTGTAGAAATTTACTTTGTCCTGAGACAGGCCCTCATAAAGATGAAAGTATCCTGAGCTGAAGGGGCAGCCACTGCATTGGCTGTGTGTAAAGTCTCTGAAATGTCGAGAACATTTCCAGAGTATTTTGTAATAAAACTGGAAATGCTTCTTAGTCCAAGATTTAATGGTTGTGCTATGACTTGCCTTTAATAAGATGCTATACAAAAAAGGGCATAAGGATTCAAGTTGCCAAAAAAACCACATTGTGGATGAGTAAAGAAAAAGTCTGTAATCTGTCTTTTGTGCCATTTCAACTCAATTCAGCCAGTGTGAAGTGGTGTACTAAGCCTAAGCTGTAGCCGTTTGTAGGTGGGAGCTGTCTTGTATTGTTATTCTGAAGAAATCAGTTGAACTGGAGTTGTTGAGATTTCAGTGATGGATGTTTGGATCCATATGAAACTTTGAGAGGAAGTTAACTGTCAAGGGGGGACGGGGTTAACTGGCGCCAGTTATTGTTCATCTTTGATTTCCTGTTTTTGGTGGCAGTGAGTGAGTTACAATATGGTGCGTGACTTATTTACTGCCATGTTTTGATAGAATAAAGCATTAAACATGGATAACCTCCTCAATGGTCAGTTGTTACTGATAAGAATAATATTGAAAATGGAAAGCAAAACAGTAAAAACCCATTTTAAGTGAATGTTATTTTATTTGGTTCAAGCAGAAGCGCACCCCCCCATTGGTTGAAAAGAACCGCATTGGTCGAGAGTATTCATTTTTAAAGATGGATTTGTGCCGGAGAGATGTAAATTAATTTTGGATTTGCCCTGCCCGACGTGTATTTAACCCTGTATACTCAGTGTATGCCCCCGAAAGCTTGTGAAAAAAACCCACAAGCGTACTCGGGTGGGACTCGAACCCAAGACCTCCTGCTTACTAGTGCAGACATCTTAACCACTCGACCACTGAGCTTGCCGGTGTCAGCTGGCTGGTTTGAATCGAATGTTCGATTCGAACCAGCTAGCGGCTACATTCAGAGCTGAGCGTATAGTTTTACGGCTGTTTTGGGAGTATCTTCGGGTAAAGGCTAACCCTGATAAAATTTAAGCGAAAAGTGAACTTCTGGCCATTATCTTGTATTTCCAGTGAAAAACCGGAGGCCAACCACTTCGTGAGAGTCAACAGGCGGCTTTTTGCTCTGTTTTCTATGGGCTCATATTTAGTGTAGTGCAACCTCCAGCTATCTGGCACAAGTCAAGTTTGGAAAACTGTTGCCCCAAGTAAAGGCTAGGATTCCAGTACAAACTACATGTAGTAGTTTTGGGGGTCATTTCAAATTTTTTTCCCCTGATTGTTATTTATTTTGTCTGGAAACTTTTAATTTCATTGCAGATATATTTCTAATAAATACATACATGGCTCTAAGAATTTTCTGAGTTAAATGTCAACGGGGGAATTTTATAATTCTCATGAGGAGTTTCTTTCAGAAGGAAGAAAAGTCCAAATCAAATGTGAATGGGAATTTTGATTGCTCTCACATGTCACTGTTCATCAAAATGCTTAGATGGTGAAATTTTGTACGGCCGGCTAGAGTGACACACCATGCCCTGGCCCCATAAGTACAAACCACACTTTACGTACAGCTCACACGCCACGTGTGAAATAGACCTGACAAAAATCGTGTAAAACATTTAGATGAAGTCAGTCTCTTACTTACCACTGTTGCCTGTGGTTCATGTGTCCACGCAATTTTTATCGCTGTGCGTAATTTTCATGGTAATATCTGTGGTCGTGCAAAATTTAAAAGATGCGGACGCAAATTTACGCACTTTCAAAGATTGCGCTCAACAATTCCAAAGAAGCCTCTGTTGCTAAGGAAATAGCGCCCTCTATTGGTCCAGCTGGAGGCCCATACTACCATGCCTTGGGGCTGGCAGACTTCTCAAGCTGTGGAGTCCCTTCACAGAAGAAGGAGAAAGGGGCACTGGATGTGGGAGAGAAGTAGGGGAGGGGAGGAATACTGGTAACTCCAGCAGACCCCATCGTCTTCAGATGCAGTAACTGAGCATTCTTCACCCCAGCGCATTCTCCAAATGCGGCAATGTCAGAAGTCATGTTCTATTTGGAGTCAGCACCAGAAAAAGGGGAGACCTTTTATTTAAAAAAATTGCAACAATGCATTTGAGTTCCAAAGTCTTGGCTCTTTTGTCACTTTTCTGTCTTAATTTGAATTATCAGAGCTCAATAACCACAAGAGTACAAATGAAAATTAATCGGGTTCTGAAAGAGTCCCTTAAAGTGAAACTTCATGATGGCTAAATGATGTTCTTTACAGATTCCTATCAAAAGTCCTTTACCTGTGTCACTGAAAATTTATGAATACCATCTTGATCATAAATTAATAAACACCTAAAAAACTAATTGTGAACATTAATCAATACTCATACCTGATGCCTTTAAAGTTCTCTATTAGTTATGGTGAGGGATTGTTCACACCCGTTCTAAGATATTTACATTTGGGATTTAAAGTGAAAGTGAAGTTTTAAGACCCTGTGCATGCTGGTGCAGATGAAATTGATTTTGTTGGATCCAGTGCTGCAGGCTGTCTGTGTTTTGAATAATGTCAGACATCCTGCAAGCAGGATGGTTTGACGCGGCTGTAGTTTTGAAATGAGTGGTTCTGTTCAGTGTTCACATGAATGAGGAACTTCCCACAATAGCCCACATATGTTTAAAGATTAACCCCACGTGATAATTCCCGTAAGATGTGGGGAAGGGGGGGAGGAGGAAGAGGGGATGTGCAAAACCTTTCCAGCACTGCATAATTGTGTGTCACTGTCAGTGCATGCTGTCTGAAGAATATTAGCTACACCCTGTTTGAAACAACTGGTACACGTGCACCTGTGTATGTATTCCAAGTTGGAATGCAGGAGGCACATGTACATTTAACTCTCTCACATTACAGTGTATGTGTACATGTACACGTAGGCACATGTGCTTACTCTGAACCTCTCACAAAGAGTTTCAAAGAAAACAGGAATGTGTACTTTATGCCAAATAGATGAGTCTAGAGATAAGTAGGATTATATGGGCCACCATTGAAACAACAGTACCGGTGCCTGTGTTTCACTTCATATAAAATAGCCACTGTAAAAACTTTCCGAATAAAATTTTCCCACAAGTTTTAGAGTTAGTGCATACTACGTGTAGTACATGCATACATGTACATGTACATGTACGTACATGTATGGAGTACCAGTATGTTCATTGGTGTTAGGTGTTGTGAGTGGAGGTTAATCTCTCAAGTTTGTGTTTTGTCCAGTACCACTACAGTCTCTGTGTTTATAATAAGCAGTTTCCTCAGAATGGGCTTGCAATTTTCACAGATTTCTTTCGAACTGTTCTTTCTTTTCTAGGATGTTATCATTATTTTTACATTGGATTTTTACATTTTGATTTCAATTGGTCTTTTTCCCTGCACCAATGGTATCATATACCTGTACATATATTTGTAGTCATCTGACGGCTTGTGAAAAACTCAGAAGGTTACTTGGATGGGACTCAAACCCATGCCGTTGTGCTTGTATTTATATTTCAGTGAGTATAAAGTGTTTAGAAATATACACGTTAATGAAGGACAAAACACCTGTTATTCTGTTACCTTTTTCCTGTAATGTAGCCTACATGTACATGTACATTCAGTACCTTTATTCAAGTCCCGTGCAACACATTTTACTTGATTATTATTTGCCAGTGATTGTTTGCAGAAATGTGCCTACACTATAAATAAAAACCTACAGAGTGAACTGATTAAATCTGTCCTGAGTATATTATAATCAGGCCGCAAACTGGTTTTGTATCATTGTTGATTGGTTTTCAAGTGATTTCATCTACACAGCTTGTACTAAGGCAATTGCTGGGAAAGTCCAGAATATTATTTTTCCTGGCATTTCCTGATTTACATCGTATTTAGAAATTACTGATAATTTCCTAACAGTTTCCATAAACTGGTCACTTCCTGGCCGAGAATGTCCCCAACAACTTCAAAAGAATAAGCCTTCAAATTTTAACCTGCCAAATCTGGTTGTATCCATTCCCCATGCTGGGCAGCTCCAAGGGTTTTTATTCATCAGAGCAAGACCAGCGACCTTTTGTCATTGTTGGATTAACCAAGTTTCAGACTGGGACTGTTTTGAACTCAGAGCAATTTTCAGTGAAAACTTATGGGAATTAGAATGGAAGAAAGAGTGTCCTCAGAAGTGTTATTGGGGAGCTCTGGTTTTGTCATCCACATGTTCTTTTTTTTCATTTGGAATGGGAGGAAGGTGCAATCTGTGCAGTTCCATAAAAGAGAAAGAGAAAGAGAGAAAGGAAAAATGTTAAGTATTTGAGCAGCCTGTGGTTTTGCCGAGTTCAATATTTTGCTGTATGTTCAATAATTACCTAGTGGCACTTTTCACCAACTTTTGCAACAGGATACAGTGCTGAGTAAAATTCCATGAAAGAACTTGCTGTTCACACAAAACATGGAGACTGTAAATGGTTCATTTTGATTTAGTGGACATGTTGGAATGAGTCCAGTCATAAAACTCAAATACATGAACGCACATGTACATGTACCATTCTGAATTTCATGCACATGTACATACACATACATGTATGTACATGTACATGCCCGGCAGTGGCCATTCAGAAAATCACAATGCACTTCATTGCTCGACGGTCAAATGTGCTCACACGCGATCTAAACCTCAATCTTTCTAAGGTGTTTTATCAAATTTTCCCAAACTGATACCTGGTTTCTTGTAGATGTACCAAAATGCCACTTGAAAAAATGCCCATGTTCCGCGGATCACAACTTGTAGAAAATTTCATGTTTTTTCGCGGAACTTTCACT